TAAAGTGGTTTTTTATTCGAAACTAATTACATACCACTGTAGTGAACAGAACACGGGTGGGGACTTCATTGTTCTTGCATTTTCATACAAACTGCATTCTGTTTCCATTTCTTACTGTTCGATTCTGTTGTCTCTCTGCTGCCAGACCTTCTGTTCACGACTTACATCATATACTACTTATGTCAATATAAGTAGCACACACCACACCACTACTAATTATAAAGAAAATCAAATATCTAATCATCATACTACTGTTCATAAATATGATTACTTTTTTCATACTAAAAAAGTCAGTACACATTAATTATTTTTTTCCAGTATGATCATTTTAATGGAGACAAGATTTTCCGACAATATTTTATGAATAATAAAATTAAACAATCTATGATGTTAAGAAACGTAATCTTCGCATTCACTTCCGCAAGTTTGACAGAAAAACGCAGAAACTCATTAAGTTCCTTTACTGTCGAAGGGATCTATGATGTAACAGTTAAGGCATACATAAATAATTGCCTGCCAGTGATATTGATTTGAACTTGGTTAACATATAACATCATGACTACTAATCAAATATTGAAATAGTATCATAACCGAAATTTCCTGTCAAATTAATACAATTATCATTGTCAGATATACATATAAGTCAATCAATACACTTTAATGACTTGAATAGTGACAGTAGTTATTATTGTTTATTTAATCATCTGTTTAAAGTATAGTTAAGAATTACGTTTTTCAATGGTTAAGATCATGAGTCAGTTGAAGCTAGATCACCATGAAAAACTTGGAAGCACTGGACGGCCGTTTCGTTCTATCGTGGGACTCCTCAGCGGTGCGCATCCACGACCTCACCCCCTACAAGATTTAAACCCAGGTCCTACTGGTTTCGCGCGCAAGCACTTAACCACTAGATCGCCAAGCCGTTATCCAACGGTGTTAATGTCTAACTTCAACTGATTCACGAAACTAAGCCACCGTCCACCACTTTCTTCAGAGAATTACTGATAGGTCCTGGGTTCGAATCTCGTAGGAGGCGAGGTCATGGATGAGCACTGCTGAGGAGTCCCACAATGGGACGAAACGGCCGTCCAGTGCTTCCAAGTTTTCCATGGTGGTCTAGCTTCAACTGACTCATGATTTAAACCTGTGAAATTTCTAAAATTCTCCACAAAAACCCATTCTGATATATATATATATATATATATATATATATATATATTAGTCCACCACAGTAAAAATCTTGAGATCCAGATGTATACACCTGAGAAGTTTTAAAGTGAACAAAACGCACATCCTGGATTCCAATATTAAACACAGTTCATTTGTTCTATACTTTTCAAGTTTAGCTTTCAATTATAGTTGGTATCATTTGTTTTCTCTACCTTTAATCATAATAATTCCTCCTAGGAATAAACTGAAATTTAGTATTTTTACTTAGATCGGTATATATCTATGTCCTGACTATGACTAACTGAATATGCTGATATGAATGACGGAAACATTTTAGCTATTACATATTTGTATCAAGTTCTAGTTTATTGATGTATATTTTGTCCTTTCCTTTAATTTGTTTAACATAATTTATGACAGCACTTAAACAGCTTCAATATTTGATTGTAAATGGTTCAACAGCACGTTTTTTTAAATTTTAACACTCATAATTATAGGTACAGGGAATAAGAACAAGTAACTACTGATTTAATTTATTTGATAAAGTGAAACTGTAGAAAATAGCTTCTAATGTAGAAATCAGCATAATCAATCATACTTTTTATCAATCAGGTAAAAAGTATAGTTGATTAGTAGAAACTAAAGTGGTTTTTTATTCGAAACTAATTACATACCACTGTAGTGAACAGAACACGGGTGGGGACTTCATTGTTCTTGCATTTTCATACAAACTGCATTCTGTTTCCATTTCTTACTGTTCGATTCTGTTGTCTCTCTGCTGCCAGACCTTCTGTTCACGACTTACATCATATACTACTTATGTCAATATAAGTAGCACACACCACACCACTACTAATTATAAAGAAAATCAAATATCTAATCATCATACTACTGTTCATAAATATGATTACTTTTTTCATACTAAAAAAGTCAGTACACATTAATTATTTTTTTCCAGTATGATCATTTTAATGGAGACAAGATTTTCCGACAATATTTTATGAATAATAAAATTAAACAATCTATGATGTTAAGAAACGTAATCTTCGCATTCACTTCCGCAAGTTTGACAGAAAAACGCAGAAACTCATTAAGTTCCTTTACTGTCGAAGGGATCTATGATGTAACAGTTAAGGCATACATAAATAATTGCCTGCCAGTGATATTGATTTGAACTTGGTTAACATATAACATCATGACTACTAATCAAATATTGAAATAGTATCATAACCGAAATTTCCTGTCAAATTAATACAATTATCATTGTCAGATATACATATAAGTCAATCAATACACTTTAATGACTTGAATAGTGACAGTAGTTATTATTGTTTATTTAATCATCTGTTTAAAGTATAGTTAAGAATTACGTTTTTCAATGGTTAAGATCATGAGTCAGTTGAAGCTAGATCACCATGAAAAACTTGGAAGCACTGGACGGCCGTTTCGTTCTATCGTGGGACTCCTCAGCGGTGCGCATCCACGACCTCACCCCCTACAAGATTTAAACCCAGGTCCTACTGGTTTCGCGCGCAAGCACTTAACCACTAGATCGCCAAGCCGTTATCCAACGGTGTTAATGTCTAACTTCAACTGATTCACGAAACTAAGCCACCGTCCACCACTTTCTTCAGAGAATTACTGATAGGTCCTGGGTTCGAATCTCGTAGGAGGCGAGGTCATGGATGAGCACTGCTGAGGAGTCCCACAATGGGACGAAACGGCCGTCCAGTGCTTCCAAGTTTTCCATGGTGGTCTAGCTTCAACTGACTCATGATCTTAACCATTGAAATTACTATAATATCCACAGAACCCATCTGATATTAATTACGTTTTTGTTAGACAACGATTAGACCACAGTCTTAGTTGGCAGGAATGATTTAACTCAGTTATATAAATGTTTCTGCATTATGTTTAATGAAAGATTTTATTATAATGTTAAAAAAAATTTGGAGAGGTAGTGTCAGGGGTAAACAGTTATTTCCAGGTCTTTCTACTAATATATATTTATGGTATTATACATATATGGGGAAAATATTGATTGTTTTAAATGATGAAATAACATACATAGAAAGGATTATAGAATATAAATGAATTGTACAGAGTATACCGAACTCATAGAATTGACTAAGATTTTGTTAAACACCCTAAGTAATCGAGAAATTTATGGAAACATTGATATTTATTTTGAGAAACTAATTTAACTAAATTAAGTTTTATCACAAATGTTAAGAATGTCAATAATGTACAATGATGTTCCATGAATCTATGTTCTTTCTAAAGAAAGTGAGAAACCTATCAGTGAAATAATTAAAGAATTAAACTGAGTTCGGTACTAATTCATAATGTGTTTAAGTGTCAGTGATGACTTAAAACAAATTAACTGAAAGTCCTTTCATTTATACAACAAACAGATTTATTTCAATCAATTAATGTTATTAATTAAAAAATAGCTTCACTTGCATGGATATTCAATCTTCAAGAGTCGTGATTTATAAAAAAAGAAATTCTCCATATGATGTTATTAAGTGAAACGTTTCACAATTAACGGATTGATATTATTACAGGTTGAAATTGAATTCAGAAACCATAAGTCTCATGTATTAACCACTAAGCTTGAAACTGAGAATGTGGTGATCTGAATATGGTGATAAAATGTCTCAAGCTATTTTCTGTTTTATTATTATCACGAATAGGTCTAAGTTAGAAAACCCTTAAAAAGCTGGAACAGTGCATCAGTCCTCACTCCACGCTCATGGATAGATTGAATTTAAATTTGTACACTATTGTATTCCAGCGTATTGGTCTAAAGGTTAAAGATATGCGCACGAGACCTACGGATTTGGGTTTAACTCCTATTTACAGGGTACTTGGGCATACTTCTGAGGAGTCCCATGATGAGACGAAATGTCTGTTTAGTACTTCCAAGTTTGCAATGGTTAATGAAATTCAGTAATCTCCATAATCTGCATTGATTATTGTGATCTTCAGTGATTGCAATACGAATTCCTACTTTTTATGAGAAAGATAATTTAAATTTCTTTCTGGAAAATTTCGTTTAACCAATGTATATATTGTAACGAAATTCCAAACAGGGTGGTGCATCACACAGTTGCGTATATCCCATTTAGATCACCTTGACAATGCACATCCGCTACGTGCGCAACGAGATTTCATATTAAAAACTCTCCTATCCTTCGATGAACACGTTCACATTCAGCCAATACTTTGTAAATGATTAAAACAGTTGAAATTTTATCAATTTTATTAAATTTCAACTGTCGAAAAACCAGAATCTCCACAAATCCTCACACTGATAACAATTGCATGCTCCCGAGTGGCCAACTTCAAGATGCAACTCCTGGAGTTCTAGTGGGAAGCCGTGACCAGTGGAGTCCGATTCATGTTAGGTGTGAGACAGTTATTCACATCAATCATAGAATCAAGGGTTGTGAAAGGTCATAAATTGACTGGAGTTGAAAATTAATATTGTTGAATACCGACTAAGCGATCTAGAGGTTAAACGTTTGCGTACGAGATCCAAGGTCCTGAGTTAGGAGTCCGCGTGCAAGGTTGTGGATGCTCACTTCTGATAAGTTTCATACTAGAATGAAACGGTCATTCATTGCTTTCAGGTTTCCAATGATGGTCTAGCTTAAATCGACCCACGACTTCGACTGTGAAAATTCATATTTGTTTTGTTTTTAAAAATAAAATAATATCCTGTACTTATGTATTCTAATTGTTTATATTACATTTTGTGTCACCTTTCTTGCAAAAATGCTAAAAATTTTAAAAACAAAACATTTGTTATTACCATTACTACTTACTATGAGATTATGTTTAGCTAGATTTATATACGACATATGGGAAATAGCTTGTTTATTGAATTAAACATAAAAGAAGTCTATGTTATGAATACAAGTTCAAAACAAGTTTCATTCATGTGATTCCAATGTGCATTTTTCACAGGAAGAAAACGTTACCCACCAAAAACAAAATTGTACTAAAGATATGAATGTGTGTATATGTAAGCACAGCATATTCATCCAATTGTTCCTATACAGAACAACATTTAAATGAATGTTGTATTATGTTTGCAAATGATTCGTGTCTGTCATTACATTTTGTTTCTAAAAAAAAGAAGAACACACATCGGTCAACTTCTCTAGTTAATAATGTAAGAAAAAAATATACATATTATGAATTGAAAGAGAGAAAGAAAGAGTAAACGACATACACATACAATAAGAGACAAAGAGTTGATGTAATCACATTGAAGTTACCCTTTTTAGAAAAAAAAATTATGGGAAGAACAAATAAATGTGATAATTACCAAGTTGAAAAAGAAATCAGTAGAAAAATGTTATTTCGTTTTCTTCCCAAGTAACAATATATGTATCATACCATTTATTTTTTATATATGTCATTATGTGAATTTGAACTTGGTTACAAAAAAACATTGATAATTGACAAGGCTGTCTTTAAATCTACCCGTTAACATTTAATTCAAATGAGAGGGATACTAGTGTTAGTAACAATTTGTAATTTATGTTGTCAATAGTAGTTGAAAAATAAAATTCCTAGCACATATCACATGGTAGGTGAAGGTCAGTAGGTAAAAAAAAGAAAATAATAATTATAATTATCGATAGTTTTAAACAGAGATGATGGTGGGTAACAGTGGAATCTAGCATGAGCGTTTCGTCTTAATTGGGACTCGTCAATCGGAGATATCAGTACGAAAGTGAATTCATATATAGTTGCATAACTTTTAAATTCATAACTTTATTTTCTGACTAACTAATCTCAGCTCATGTTAATTTTTAATTGCTATTAATCTATGACTGAGGTCATGAATCGAATAATTTTAGACCATCTGAAAGTACTAGATGACTGTTTCGTCCTAATATGGGACTTCTCAACAATGCGCATCCACGATTCCACATGTAGGACTCGAATTCAAGACCTTGGGTTTCGCTCGTGAATACTTAACCTCTAGACAAATGAGCCAGCACCCAATTTATGTTCAGCTACTACATTATATAATGAGTTAGTTTTTTTGTCTCGAAAATTTTTTGTTACTATATCTGATTATCCCGATTCTTCTCTTAATTATCATATTTTATTTACACCATTCTTTATTTGTCTTCAATCTGTTTACTCTATAATGATAGCATATACTCATTGTTACTGTTTTAAGTATCTAAAATATTATAGTTTGTAAACTGCCGATGAGAACCTTACGAAATAAGATGAATTTATGTTATTGTGTTCAGTGATTTGTTCAAATGTCGAATGAATGATTATTTTTTCGAATCATTTATTAACGCTTTCATAACAAGTCTATTGAGTAAAAAGTCACTGAAAGAATCTGATATTCATATTACGTTTCAATTGCATTGAATCTCAATAAAACAATCGTAAAATCACTAAAATCAGTAGTAATTTTTAATAAGTTTAGGTCTAATAGTAATTATTCAATTTCAAGTTCATTTCTCTCAAAGATTCACATCATCTGAAGAACTATTAATAATTTAGAAGCATTAGGCAGTAGTTTTATCCTATTTTAGGACTCCTTCAAAGTATCCATTGACTTTGTTATGGAGTAATTTTCACACAAAAAAAAGTATTAGCTATGTGAAGAGAAAAGTACGCAGTTTGGGTCTCAGTGTAGAATGGGATGAAGGTACAACTAGCTGCTAAGCCCAAAATAAGACAGAATGCACATCCTGGTTTCCACTATTAGCAACATACTAAATATAATACAATTTATAGCAATAACATAATAGCAAAGCAATCCACTTGGGATGTACCCATGGTAACAAAGACTGATCAGTTATAGTTCTGTAAATCAAAAGTGCAGAATTACTAACTGAGTTTCATCTCGTAGTTTCTATATTTTAACATGATTGTTTGTTTATCTATTTCTAAATTCCTAATGGTTTTAAAACATCACAAGTTAATAACTATGTACTTAAAAAAGTGACAAATATCTTCTTATGTATTTTTCAGCTTTAGTCATCTTTTAATATTTATTAACAAACACATACATACACACGCTCTATTTCGATGCATTTAGTATTGAAAATTGAAATCCCCATGAACAGTTCCAATGACAAAAATTGATAATATAATAATATACTTTCAAATAACATGTTTTTCTGTCCAAAATATTTTGACATTTATGTATTTTATTTAAAAATTGGTAGATTTGATTTTATAGTTGAATTCATGAGTTAGTTGAAACTAGACCACCATGGAAAACCTGGATGTCCTGGACAGTCGTTTCATCCTAGTGTGAGACTCCTCAGCAGTGTACATTAACGATCCCGCCCCGCGAGATTCGAACCCAGTACCTATCGGTCTCGTACGCGAATGCTTAACCAATCCATGAATTTGAGCCACCATCCATCATTGCACACCATTGAGGAGTTCCACACTGGGACAAAACCGTCATCCAGTGCTTCCAGATTTTCCATGATGGTCTAGCTTCAATTGACTCATGAATTCAACTATAAAATTATTAATATTTCCACAAACCCCCTCCAGATTTGATTTTATTCACTTAGTTGAAATCAAGAGATAAAATTAACGAGAGTACTTGAATCTTGTAGCAGATGTCATTGTCCAGTATAATATGATTGTATTACTGATAAGTATTTAAAAGTTTTAAATTATATGAAAATGAGTTCTTTTTAATAATATGAACACGCTGTGAATAAGATCATTATAACACTTTCTAGTCAGTTTAATTAAACAAGTAAGATGAATTTATTTTACAGTTGATCTGTGAATAACTAGATAATGTAAGGTCAAACAGTTCTTTCAGTGTTAAGGAACATCGCACAATCATTTAAATGGAGATTACGTAACATTTATCCTATTCAATGTAATGTAGTTTACGCAAAACCAAGAATTCGAATGTAACGTTACTTAGAAGTAATGTATAAATGAATAATAGGATAGAGACACATCTAGTTAACGAACTTTGAAAAGTATGGAACAAGCATCCAATATTCCTCTGTAAGTCACTATCTAAATACACTATGTACTTGTCCTATCATTATTTCTACCTTAACAACAACCAGTTATTATTTCCATTTCTTTATACATTTCTTTGTAAAATCAATCCCTTTCCTAATATTATAATTTTAATCCCTTTAATGTTGCTTAAACTTTAATTTTAAATTATCAGAATTGATTTTACCACTTTCATTACAGTTCATCATTGGTAGTAAAGTTGAAACTGAACATTAACTCTTCCAAATATACCTGGCTAACCAAAGAAACCCGGCAGAAATCCCCTGAAACAGTCTTTCATTTTACTTATTGTAATATCAGTTAAATCTACTGTTCAACCTCATAAGCATATAAATGCTAATCAGTAAACAAGTTAACTGAACAACTGCAGATAAATACCACTTCAAATAAACACTCAGTACTGCCCAATGTTTTTCTGTTCTATTAATTAACTTCTGTACCTAGTGAAAAGATAGGTTTGTAGCTGAACATAAAGATGACATCTGGTTTTTAAATTCTGTAGACCACAATATTTCATTCTAACTTTGCTATTATCAGAAGCCATACAATTATCACCATTTAAGGCCAGAAAGAAAAATCATTGTATCATATGTTCTCCATAAAAATAAGCCCTTCAGTAGGTAGCAAACAATATTATACAATCTTACCTTAGACACTGACATGATCATATCAAACAAGCATAGTATATCAGTTTTAAGCTAATCCTGTACAACAGTTCACTATCTAATGATGAAAATTCCATTCATCCAGAGCAAACTGATTTCCTTAAAGGCTTCAAAGTAAAATTGCTCTTAATTACGAAATTTGTCAAATATAATTTATCAGAATGGGAGTTTGTAGAGATTGTATTACAGCCTCTTCTTTTACCATGGTCTTAATGTATTAAAGATTTTTTTCTCTTTCTTCATACTCTTGTTCTTTTACAGCCACCTGCTTCACTTTCCATCTTCCCTTCAAGTCTTCTACCCCCCCCCAACCGGTTTGTTTTTATCTCCTTGATCATTCCGATTACATTTCATCTCTGTATTAATTTTAACAGTTGAATTCATGAGTCTATCTAAGCTAGACCACCATTGAAAATTTGGAAGCAATGGATGACCATTTCATTCTAGTATGAGACTTTTCAGAAATGCTCATCCACGACCTCGCATACGGAATCCTAACTCAGGAGGTTGGATCTCGTACGCAAACGCTTAACTTCTAGATCACTTCCTAAATTTCAAAATCAATATTCCATACAAATACATTTGATTTCCTCTGCGTTATTTTTCTATTAATTGTTGACACAAGTTATGCTTTGATATAAGCTGATATGTGTATAAATATACTTTGCATTTAATGTTCCTGTATTATTTGTAAGCTAATATGTGTCATAATTTCTTCCTTAGTATACTTCTTAATTCTATCTCATTTTTATCACTAAATATCCTCTTTTAATTTTGGAAATAATTATTTGTGAGTACCGAATACTCTATACGAGTGTAAATTGAGAATTAATGACATCATATGATGATCATATAATATTAGGAAGTGATGGAAGTTGAAAGAATGTCAGGAACTCTATTCCTACTCTCTATTTTGAATGTGTTGAAGCGACTAAAGGAAACTGGATTTAATTCTACACAGTAGTTAGACACTTTGGGAAGTTCTATTTCATGATTAAATAGCTATTAAAAATTCTATAGTTTCCATCAGTCCTATTTTTGGTGTCATATCATGACGAAGAGTAATTTACGATTTATTAGTCTTAATCAGTCTATCATCTGAATGAGTGATTTTACTAAACAGTCATAGTCATTTCTTAAACTAATTCAACTGATTCAATTAATCCATTTTTCTCTTGTGATCATTTTGATAGGTTTTAATCATTCCTCGATGAAATTCAAATAATTCCTCGTTATTTTATTACGTTATCATTACTATCATTATTATATTATCATTATTAATCTCCCCCTATACATGGTTCATTCACTTTGCTCCTTATTCGGTTTTGCTAAATTTTTTCACAATATTAAACATTCGATTGAATTATAATTGAACTATTATTTCTCTCACCCTATTTGACCCATATTTATTCGGATCATGGATC